TGTGATTATGAAATTATCTTCCAGATGTTTACAGACTCTCTGTTTAATTATCTGCTCCAGAATCTTTTCTACATCAATTGTGTACCCTCCACAATGACTGAATTAGGTCATGGGTGCTCAAACAGCCAAGAAGATGGAGCAATCCTGTACAGTTTCTTGATCTTCCTGGAGGTGAAAGGGATGGTTCCTGGGGTCTTCCATGACCATTTGGCAATCTTCTCCAAAGAGGGTAAAAATCCCAGGGCTGGAGGGGTAGGTACCTTGCCTTGTACCCGGTGCTCAATAGAGTCAATGGCATTCTCATCTGCTCTGACAAGTTCAACCTCCAGAGTATTGGCCATCCTCACCACCTGATCCACGAAAGTCTTATCATCAGAAGGTGAGGCAGGATCATGTTCGACCAGCTGGAGAGGAGAATGCAAGATCTCAAGTTCCAAGAATAGAAAGGCTAATCGGGACAAAGATCGGGAAAGCGAGCGCCTCGATACCAGTCAGGTGGAGCGTTGAAATGGTGTCTTAGACAGTGGTCTCCGCTGAGGCTGTTGAGAATCCGGGATCGACACAGTCTGGAGTAGAGGTTCAATGAACTTGGGCTCAAAAAATGGTCCGTCTAGGTGGGACCGGTGAGGGTGGCCTGCTTCCCTGTAGGCAGTGGCAAAGGGGAGCATGGTCTACCAGCAACAGGTAGCAGCCCAGAAGCTCACCATAACCCAGGTATGGGAAATATTTAGAGCCTGGCCTCCTCATGAGCTGCATCATCTACTTCAGTCCTGAGGGTCAATGGGTCTCGATGCCGAAGAAATTCAAGGGCTCAGTCCTGAGCACTCTCGGTATCAACTACAGTCCCATGGGCTGGTGTCAAGATTGGAAGCTCACAATCCCAGGTGTCACCACGGTCTCGAAGTCCTCATCCAAGGCCAGTTCAATTTCCACCACCTGGTGTCCTGGAAAGCAGGCAGCAAGGCTAATAGCCAAAGCGAGGAAAAGTGCCAAACAAAGTCCAAGCTACCAATCTGAGGGAGCAGCAAGCGAAGAGTCAAACACAAGCCGTAGGTCGAGGACTGCAGAGAAGCTGGGAAACAAAGCAGTCTGAGGTCCAGGGATTCAGAGATTCAAGATTAGTCAACGGTCCGAAGGTCAGGAATGCCGGGAGTCCAAGATAGTCACGAGTCAAGAGTTCAAGGCAAGGAGAAATAGAGACAGAGGCTTTCGTCAGGAAGCTCAGATAACCTCTGGCACCGAGGCAGCGCTTCCCTACTTGCTTAAATCCCCAAGCTGCCAGAGCTCAGCTGCGGCTGACCATCTTGATGACCTCGGTGTTTTTCATAAAGCCTCCTCAAGTGCCGGAGGCCCGCCCTTTTGGCTCTACGCTGACTGAAGGTAGGCACGGTCCCTTGATCTTCCTCCATGTCTGACAGCTCTGCTGCCGGGAGGCTTGGCTGTGGAGCCTCTTGCGAAGTCACAGACTCTGCTGGAGACTCTGCTGGTGGAGCTGGCAAAGCAGTTGCTAGGACCGAGCTGGTGCTCCTCTGCTGCAGACACAGGACCCGAAGGCAGTTCTGACTCGTCTTCCGAGTCCTCGTCTAGGCATGGCATGATGTCTGGGACTTTTCCAGTGAGCCCGCCAGTGTCTTCGGCAGCAGAGTCAACAGCACAAGCTCAACGTCAGCAGTGGCCTCTGCAGCTGGTCCTGAAGGAGGGGACTAGGTCTTGGAAGCCTCATTATCTCGGGAGGTCATGGGGGCTCGCAGCGAGGAAGAACGGGCATGGTGAAGGGCCTTAGATGAGGATTTTTCCTTTTTGGAGGAAGAATCCTTGTCTGCAGTGTTTACTCTTGGAGGTTCTTTTGGCCTTTGGGTCTTCAAGAGAGCAGTCCCCACTAGATTTGGGTGTCTGGGGATGGGAAGATTTTTCTTTAGGTCTTCCTCTGTCCTTGGGCTTCTCGATCCCCAACGTAGAGGGTTGAGGCTCCACAGAAGCAGTGGAGAGCAGCCTTCAATCTCTTATCCCTATTTCTAAGGGCTTGAGAAGTCATGGACCTGCAAAGGGCACAGGATTGTACACTGTGCCCTTTTGCCCAGACAGAGGGGGCAAAAGGAGTGCAGGTCAGAACCAGGGATCTTACCACCGCACTTCCCACAGCGCTTGAAGGAGCACAAGGACATTTTTAACCAAAGTTGAAGCCAAATTGGAATCCAAAATCGAGGACAAACAGTTCTGAGAGTGAGCAATTCACAGAGGCAAGTCCAAACCCAAAGAGTTGTCAAAATCAAGCCAGAAGTCAAATCCAAAATCATTAAGTGAGAGAAACAAATAATACTGAGTAGCAAAATTTCTTCCCAGCAGCTAACACAGCAGACGAAAAAGAGTGGAAAGATGCCAGGCTTATATGGAGGGGGCGGAGCTACTGCCAAAAAGTTGCAAACTGAGTTTTGCCTTATGATACCAGAAGTTTCCGAGTTTTTCTACGCATGCGCAGAATAATCCATTTGTGTGATTTTCAGAGACCACGAAGAAGAAAGAATGATCTCACAATTGTAAGACGCCAGATAGCATGTGAAAAAGCACATTCAACTGGTGTGTTAACAAACATCAAGACTATAACTTCTTAACAGCACAATTCATTGATATAAAATGTAATACCAAACAACTGGTTTTAATATGACCGTTAACCTGAACTCCTACCTGAAGTTTGAAATGAAGATTTTTGGAAACTACAGACATACTTAATTCCAAAATCAAAAGGGTTACCAACAAATTTGCTATTAAGTAAATACATGGAAACTAGTTTTACTTGCTTACCTCCTTTTGATCCTTCTTGCATTTGGCTGTCCAGACAAATCCAAAGGCTCCTTTGCCAATGAGTGCAAGTGTATCGTAGTTCTTTCCATATTCTCCCTCACAAGCCTTCAGTTTTTCCAGCTCTTCAGCTCGCCTCGAATTCTCAAATAAAGGTGTTTTTTTTACCAACTGCAAGAGAAAGGAACAGACAGACAAACACTACAAAATCTGAGTGACTTCCCTCTTAAAAACAGTGCAAACAAGAATGATCCAAGGAAAAAAATCAGTTAAAGACAGATCTGCCCCCAAATTGCTGTACTGGTAACCTAAGAACACTCATCTCATTTGTTTCTCTTTATCAACTATTTTGATATTTGCAGTCAGTAACAGAGTAAGTTTACATTTTAAAAAAAATTGTAAACTCTATGTAACCCAACAATATTTTAATTAGATTGAATGATTCTGATTTTTAAAAACTTGACAACTGAAAACAAATTCCCACTACTGGGCCAGGCAATCTTTCTCTGGTCCGTGAATACACCTTCCAGTGGATGGCTTCCACTGGCTCCATCTGAAATCTCTATTTCCAGAGTTACATTCAAGACACTGGTGAATTTTGACAGAAGAGTAGCAGTGTGTGTGTGTGTGTAAAGTGGGGGGAGAGGGAGAGAAACTAGTTTTCCTCCCATGCACCTTGTTTTATACCAAAAATGTGCTTCTGCTCAACTGCTGTACAATACAGTCAAATGTTAACAGCAGAGCTGTGGGTGATATCACAGGATGCAAATTGACAATAAATAAAACACAACTTAGTAATAACATTTTATGCTCATAATCCTGTTGGTGCATTATGCCAGTGTAACAACGTCAGAGTAGGATGGAACAGGGGGGAAAAAAACTCGAGGCAGTGGTCATAAAGAAAGTCAGCTACAAAGAAAGTCAGCCACTGGAGAAACAGGATGCTCAGAGCCAGCAGATTTTGCCTATCTTCCCTTTGCCACCTCTATGTGATCCTGGAAAAAGTGTTACTGCTAGCATAGTGCACCAACAAGATTGCATCTTATGAACCCTTGCCAGCTAGTCTCGGTCCTAACTTTTGTTGTTGTTAGGGAAATGGCTTACTAATTGCTCAGAATAGCTAGGATGTCACAGACTCCTGAACAGTGGAAACCTCTTGGAAAGGGAATCATTCCATATCACAGCTAAGGACAGTAAATATGTGCCTTCTCCCAACTGGAAAAATGCTCTCAGCATTGTTGATAGCCTCCTCCAGAAGGGGTGGGGAAAGAATATCGTAATTAAAAGAGAGGTAACACACAGTGTACCAGTGTGACACAGTGGTTGAGTGTTGAACTACGACTGAAGTCTTCCTCCTTAAGAGTCTTAAGGCAGATCCACCTATAACATTTCAGAAACTTTAAAAATGATTTGGTTGTTCTTGTAAAGACTTGACATGGGCAAATGTACCAAGCCATTGTAGTGTGATGGTTTGGGCATTAGACTAGAACTCTTGAGACCAGGGTTCAAAACCCTACTCAAGCATAAAAACCCACCGAGTGAACTTGGGCAAGTCACATGCTCTCAGCCTAAGGGAAAGGCAATGGCAAACCTCCTCTGAACAAATTTTGCCAAGAAAACCCTGTGATAGGGTCACTATAAGTCAGAAACATCTTGAAGGTACACAACAACAGCAATAACACACAATGGCCTAGAAAAGAGACACCATGCGATGGAAACCAGAATATAGTGGGGACTAGTCCTCAAAAACACTAGGTCTTTGTAATGTGATCTAAACCCATGCATTAAAAATAATAAATCAGGAAGCAGAACATAGTAAAGGAAAGCAGAATATGGTGAGGATGTCTCACTTTCATGTTAACAGTAGCATTTTGTCTATAGAAAACAGACACACACATCCTAATCTGCTAACTACACACATATATTTACTAGCTTGCTTTAAAACCATGTTCCATAAAATCATGGAACAAGTTACTCAGTAAAGAGGCCATAACCCTAAAGGTGAACAGATGCAACCAGGGTTACTGTATTAGCCCTGGTGCAGATAAGAAACTCTCTCTGACAGTTTGATTCTTCATCTTCTTTCAGTCTCAGTGGGGGAAGGAGCAGGGTGGAATTAACCCCTCCAAAGCCTGTGAATATCATCTCAAAGCTTCTAGAAAGTCAAACCTGCCAGGGCTTACATCCCCACACCAAGAAGGAATTTCTTTCTCTCCTCAGGAATGCCTTCATAGCCCCCTTTTTAGAATCAAAGTCGCAGGGGTTTTATTGGTTTGTATTATTTGTTTGCTTTTATTTATTATGTTGAATTGTAAGTTGGTTTTAATTGACATGTAGTTTAATGATTTTTAAGGGGGGGGGAATTACATTATTTAAGCTGTATGCATTTTAGTCTTGTAAACCACCCAGATTGGCTTGTCACTGGGCGGTATATAAATAAATTTTTTATTATTATTTATTATTATAGCTTTGAGAAGAGCAAATGCTGATGGCTTGCCTAAGAGCTTAAAGGGCCATCTGAGGCTAAAAGAATGTAAATTGAGGCTGTGTTAGGCTTTTGGCCGAAAGGACATGAGAACTCTTTGCTTATATTGTTTTTGCATCAATTTCCATCTATTTGTCACCAAAAATGCAATGTTTGGGACTCTTTGATTCAGTTTTACTTCAGTGTTTCTTTTGAACCTAAACTGAACAGACCCTAAGTGGATCAAGTTTTCCAAAGGAATAAGTTGGATGCACATTTATTTGTTTATTGTTATTTCAGCCCCATAAACCATAGCTTAATGAAACAAAAGCTCAGAATACTTACTTCTGCCAAGCTGAGAGCAGAGACATCTACGAGGGTCTGAGAACTGGCCAAACTGGAAAGCAGTAAATGTGTCTTTGCTGCTGCTTCTTTCTGGCTCTGGAAATGGTCTCTCATAACCCAAATACAAAAGAGAGCGGCAGGGTCTTGCAATTCTACATGCCTCACTTCAAAGAGTATGCCTACAATATTACAAAACAAGAGGATGCTTTGATAGGTGATGATAAGAACAAAGATATGTACAACTCTTAGTCCAGGCCAAGATACTAAAATCCACAAATGTGGGTGCTGAGGGCCAAAATTTAGCCCTAGGCCGACCAGAGTTGCCCACCAGTGGTTTAACCATATGTTGAAGCCTTCAATTCTGTTCTAACTTTCACAGACAACCAATTATTTCTTAAAGTTCAGATGTTAGTAAAATCAAATTAATGTTTTCCTTGACTGGTTTGCTTCTGCATTCCAAACCTGGATGGGCAATGGATTAAAGCGCAAATTCATTTAAAATCTGTGTCCATACATTTAAATTCCCTGCTCAGCTAAATACACACTGAACATGCATTTCTGTGTGGAAACTTTTCAAGCAAAGAGGAAATCGGTGTCCAGTTAAAAATACTAGAGAAAATGACTACTTCCAACTTACTGATTCTGGAACCATCTCTGTGATAGCAGTTGCCTGAATAGCTGCCTTCCTGGATCTCACTGTTTAGACTAGCTCCTGGAGATAGCACAGCTTCTAGTTTCACAGGAGTTGATGTTGCTTGTGCCATGTTCTGCTGCTTTAACAGCATAAATTCTTCTTGGGACTGTTCATCATTGTTTAGAGACTGTGTTTCTAAATGGTGACCCATGCTCTCTGCAGCACATTCAGCCTCTGAAGAACAGTGGGTAGAGAAATCTAAGCCAGAAGGGCCTGAATGTTTATTAACAAGCGAACGTCTGTGACAGCCAGCTGGAGAATCACCCTTCAACAAGAGCTCTGCTTGATTGCTTGCAGAAATATTATTCCTCTGGTCCAGGGACTGGCCATGATCTTCCCCACTTAACAAGGAGAGCTGTGTCAGCCCAGAAGCAACACGTGCATCTGAATATGTCTCTCCACTTCTGACAGCCAAGTCCTTCAGGCCACAGCAAAGAGAATCTATTACATCAACTGTCTTTTCCTCAACAAGTACAGAATCATCACAAGGAAATAATCCCATAGAAAAGGGAGAGCTGCTACTCCTTTCTTCAGACAAGGCTGGCAAATCATTTGCTGAATTTTCTAATGGAACGTTTTCAAAGCCCCCATTTGTTACCCTATTTTTCAGAGGTGCATGGATTTGCTTGAGACTAGATGCTGTGCTGTACACTGGTTCATCCAGAGTGGGAGTGCCAAATGATACATGCACAACATCACAAGGCACATTTGTCTCATGTCTTAAATCATCATCTAATATACAATTGGGCGAAGTCTGATCACCCAAGAGAGAACCTTTTCGCCCTGCAGATATAGGGGTAGATTGGCATTTCCCCAAAGTTTCATGTATCAAACCAGAAGCATGTTGATCAGAAAGATCATCTTCTGCTTCTTTCTGAAGCAAGTTACAACTGCTCCTGGAAAGAACCCTCTCCTGCAATTTAGTTTCATCTTCTAACACACATTGCTCCAAATGCAACTGTTTTAGAAAACATGTTTCATGCTCCTGAAAACTTAAAACTTTTGCAGTCTCAATGAAATGTCCATCATGCAGACTCTCAGTAGGCAGGACTTCATCAGGGTCCAGCCCATGGCTATCAGCTATAGAATCCCTATTATGAAAAAAGAAAAAGAAAGAAAAGTTACAGATCATGTTATGTAGAAGTAAGAAGCTCCTTCCCCAATGTGTTCTGACACCCATGTTAATATTTTATTTTATTTGGTTCAAAATATTTTAAACACCATCCAAGCCAAGGTTCCCAAGATGGGTGTACAAAAGTGTAAACACAGCTATTCAAATTAAATGTATGAACACAAAAAATAAAAATAATCACTACATAAAAAATAATTAAGGATAATATAAATCAGATTTAAAGCATATGAATGATAAGGATTGGCTATGGGCTCCAGAACCAAGGCAAAGATTTTGGATCTCATGATTCCTGCCTTATTTTAATGTGTATAGGAATATAATCCTAGATACCTCCTTCACACTAGCTTAGGAAGTATCAAATCAAAACAAGACATTACTTAAACCTGTACTTCTTAAGGTATCTGATGTGAGGAACTGGCAGGGTTTTTTTTTCCATTCCAATGTGCCAATGACCTGCATCATATTTATGCCCTGCCTACAATTATTTCTTTTATTTCCTGAAAATTCACTATGGACTGGCTGCCAGTGGGCTCATGAAGATTTGGCTGGCACAGATGAATAACCCAATCATAGTGGATTCTTCCTCCGTGCCATCTGGTGAATAATGGGGGGAGGGGGGAAGCATCTGCATTGTAAAATAAAGGTAGTTTCCCCTTTGTCAAGGCTGTCTACTCATATCCAACCATAGGGGGTAGTACTCATCTTCATTACTAAGTTGAGGGAGCCGGCGTTATCAAAGATGACTCCATGGTCACGAGGCCAACATGACTGCATGGAACGTCGTTACTTTCCTACCAAAGTGGTACCTATTTATCTACTTGCACTTTTACATGCTTTTGAACTGCTAGGTTGGCAGAAGCCGGGACTAGTGACAGGAGCTCACTCCATCACATGGCACTTTGGTCTCAAATTGCCGACCTTGTGCTCATCAAAGTCAGCATGCTGATCGCTAAGCCACCACATCCCCTACATTATAAAATATCATCCTCTGCCAAATAAGCACTCAAATCCCTATTATTATCTCTTTTAGAAAAACTGATTCTATTTTGATAAGTCTTTCTGCCTTTTGAGAGAATGCATAACGCCTTCTGACTGAACTACTTTGATACTTTTTATTGGCATAAGGCATGATTTAAATAAAATATTTAAATAAAACTGAGCAAATCCTGTCATTCCCCATATGAATCATTCAATGATGGCATGGGATGACATAGACACCAATACACCAACTGAGGATCTCAAGATAAAAAAAATAACTGAAACAGCCCTAGGATGATTTAAGGTTATCATCCAAGATGTTTATTTCCAAGTAAATGGTTAGAACAGAACTTCACCACACAGGCATGAACATTACTAGATGACTCATGTATTAATGGACCAATTATTTCATTGGTATTGTTTGAGATGACAGGCAGAGACAGCAAAGTCGTGTCTGTGGAGTTTGATCTGTGATAGCGGTCTCACACATTTTACTCATTACCTAATGATGGGTGCTGAATATATATACACAAGAACTACCTATTTCTCCATCTTAGAAGCAAGGCCTATTGGAATCAGCAATATGTAGCAACTTCAATTCATTCTGAAATAAGACAGAGCAATCCTGACCCTAAAAAGTCCCACTGATTCCTAAATAAGCAAAGGATTGCAGCTTAGAAAGCACTCAACTAAATGCACTCCACTGCTGGGTAAAGTCACAGTACTCCCCACTGTTTTAAAAAAATTACTCTTTTAGGAATGATGCAGCTAGCCACCTCCTTTGGTTAAAAAAAAAAAAAAGCGGGAGCAGGGGGAGACTGGCATTTTTTTCTGAATGTAGGTGAAGCATTCAAGTCTGTGTAGAGCTATTAACCTACTGGAGAAACGTATTATAATCATAGTTCTTTCAG